TATCCTTCAGTGGTATAGAATCTGCTCTCTCCTCTTTGAAAAACTTCCAGTCCTGTATCAGCTCTGGAATGGACACAGCTTCTGGTGTTGCCTTGGATCTCGTGGAAACTCAGAGTAAGTAACAATTAAAACTTAATTCTTTTGTGTCTACTTTGGGATAACCCTGTATGGAGGCATTACTCTAGGGATGTGAGATACTGCTGACCTTTCAGGTGTTCTTGGGATAGTCATTTCATCCCTCTGGGCATCGGTTTTCTCATCTTTGTTCTACATATACCACAAAACGATGTACTGAGGATGAAATGAGCTTGACTCATTTGTGTGTCTTCGGATGGTTACGTGCCAGTAGAAGCTGCACTGGAGACTTACAGGCTGAAACATGAAGGTTCCTGATCTCAAGGAGCATACAATCTAAAGTATGTGACATTTGTGAACTGTGAACTGTAAGGTATGCAAATGCATTAATATAAAGTTATAATAAAGTCATTTTGCAATAGTCTAACTCTGTTCATTCTTGATTACTTGGTAGACAGGCTAAGCTTATGCTAGGGATACGGGCAAAGGAAGGCCTCTTCTAAAATAGAAGAATTCAGCTTTGATGAACTTTATCAACATTTTTCGATCAGAAGACTTAGAAAACTGTTAACTTGCTTTCTTTGGATTAGGGTTGTTTTTATTTTATATTATATGGAGGCAGGGGAGCAACAGTATTTTTGTGTCGTTTTTAATATCACTGGTTTTCAACGATTTGATTGTCATGTGTCTTTGTGTGATTTTGTTTATTCTGTCTGGTGTTCTTTAAGCTTTATGGATTTGTGGGCTTGTAGTTTTGATCAAATTTAGAAAAATTTCTGCCACTATTTCTTTTTTCTTTTTTTTTTAATTTATTTTGAGAGAGAGAGAGAGACAGTGCATGTGCAAGCAGGGGGAGGGGTAGAGGGAGAGCGAGAATCTCAAGCAGACTCCATGCTGAGCGCAGAGCCCTACCCAGGGCTCGATCCCATGAACCTGGGATCATGACCTGAGCCAAAATCAAGAGTCGGATACTTAACTGACTGAGGCACCTAGGCGCTCCTGCCACTATTTCTTCAGATAGTTTTTTCGTCCCTCTTCTTGTGAGACTCTAATTATATGTGTGTTAGACAGCTTGATAATGTCCTATAAGTCATGAGGCTTGGTTGATTTTTTTTTCCGGGTCTTTTTTTTCTGTCTGGCTTTAGTTTTAATAGTGTCTGTTGCTATGTCTTCAGGTTCATTGGTCTTGTCTTCTGCAGTCTCTGTTGTTAATTTTGTGCAATGAATTTTAAACTTCAGATACTGGATTTTTCAACTCGACATAAAAAATTAAATGGAATCTTCTGTCTTCTATTTCTCTTCATTATGTTCAGGTTTTCCTCTGTATTCTTGAGTATATGGAGCATATTTATAATAGCTGTTTTAATATCCTTGTCTGCTAATTCTGTCATTCCTGTCGCTGCTTCTTCACATGGACATTGTGTGTATTATGTTGTTGAGTGTTTGGATTTTGTTGTCTTCCAATCAAGAATTATGGCGTTTGTTTTGGCAGGCATCAAAGTAATTTGTGGATTAGGCTAATCCTTTCCAGGCTTGTTGTTAAACTTTGTTAGTGCGGGTCAAGTTAGTGTCAATTTATTTTAGGGCCAATTCAGCCTGGTTACAAAGCTTGGCCTTTCTGCATCTCTGTCTATTGCCCAGAGGGTTCTGTGAGATAGCCCTAGTGCTGGGTGGAATTCGAAGGTCTCCCGGTGCTGGGTGAATCCTGGGAATTATTCACTTTATAGCTCCCAGCAAGTGTTTCTCAGCGGTTTAGGATTGAGGAGATCTCTGCAGATCCCTAGAGTACTGTCTCTGCGTAGCCCCCTCCTGGTGCTCTGTCTTGAAAACCTCTGATGTCTTAGCTTCCCCGAACTCCAGTCTCTCTCTCCTGGTCCTTCAAGACTTTCGTTCTCTGCTTGGCTTCTTCCTCCTTTGTGCAGGGAGGCAGGCGACTGTAGGACTTACCTGACTTGTTTGTCCCTTTCTGTGGGGCTCACGGTTCTGCTCTGGCTGTGGTCCCGCTGAGAGCAGCTGTCTCATATGTTTTGTCCAGCTTTCTAGTCCTCACTGCAGGACAGCCAGTTCCATACCAGTTGTTCATTCGTGGCCAGCAGCAGAAGTCACCCATAATTTTTAGTGGGTAACCTCGCAGGGTCTTAACCCTCCCCAGCCTGATCTGTAGTCTATTTTTGGATCTTTGGTAGGTGACCTGGATAAAGGTCATAATAAAATCTTCAACCATAAGAAAGAACAGCTGGAGTATAAACCAGTTGACTGTGTTGTTGGACAGCAGTGAATGGATTGGGAGAAATTAAAGTGCAGAAGAGCATGTGGGAAAGTCCATGAATCATCTTCATAGCAGAATGATTCCCTTTTCCTCTTAGCCTTATAAGATTAGCACCCTTTCTGTTTACCTTTTGGGTTCCCCAATTTCATCACAAATTAAAATGAGGTTTGTTGGAAGAGGTGGTAGTGATCACTTAGGTATCATTTTCTCACTTTGTACTGTATATCTCTTGTTGCTATATTATTAAATTGTTGGTAAAGGGGATTCTTGTTCCCAAGCACTTGGAAGGGGTGACGTGTATTGTTTTGGTATATTCCTATACCAGGTTGCTGTCCCTATTCAACTTCTAGCTCATTTGAAATGATCACTTTTCCCTGTGTTATGTTATAGTGTGTGGTGTCCAAGCAATAGACTCTTACTGCCACCATGTCTATTTTTTTTTCTAAATGTGTTGGTATTCTGGGAATACTTTCTTATTTACCTAATAGTAAAATGAAATTTGTTGCATTAGGAGATTTTTCAAGTAGCTGGGGCTTATTTTTCAGATTTTTAAATTTATCATATACTTTTCTGCTTTCTGAGGCAGAAGTACTGACTTAATTTACCAAAATTGTTGTTGTAATTATCATCTTTAAGCAATTAAATTTTCAGAAGCCCTTTAAGTTTAGTTAAATAAAATTGAGGAATGGCTCTGTTCTAAAATGTTAATGTACCTCCTGTTGTGGCCTCTTCTTATGCCTCCATGCCAGTAAAGGAAGGTTTGAAAAGAACAGGGTTTGTTTTTTTTAAGATTTTAAAAAAAATTTTTTAATTTTTTATTAGAGAGAGAGCAAAAGCAGGGGGAGTGGCAGGCAGAGGGAGAGGGAGAAGCAGGCTACCCGCTGAGCAGGGAGCCCGATGTGGAGCTCGATTCCAGGACCCTGGGATCATGACCTGAGCCGAAGGCAGACGCTTAACCGTCTGAGCCACCCAGGCGCCCCGGAAAAGAACAGTTTTTCAGAAACTCATCCTATTGAGGGCAGTTGCTCTTAAAAGGTTAGAATTAAATAGTTGGTCTCTGTATATTTAAAGTAATATTTTTAAAGTACAAAATCAAAAGTAATCAATAGAGCCAAGTCTTTGAATTTCCTTTATATACTTATGCCACTTGTATTCATGTCTGTGATGTTACCTGTCATACTAGAGGCTTGGGTTTGCAAGGCTACCTTTTCAGAGTTGATTTTTTCCCCTCCTAAGTGATAGGTTTGCAGTTTGAGCCACAGGATAAGGGATGGCACTTAATTGTGATGATGTGGAAGTGGCCATACTGATCTCTTGATCCAGTTTTTTTTTTTACTTCAAATATGTAACTCTTTAATTTTGAGTAAATAGATACTTATTAAAATTCAGAGTTTTTTTTTTTTTCCAAAGAAAGGCATACTATAAAGCTGAATTTAAAGATTTAATTATTTGTTTGAGGGGGGAGGGGTAGAGGGAAAGAAGAAGCAGGCTCCTCACTGAGCTGGGAGACGGATGCGGGGCTCAATCCCAGGACCCTGAGATCATGACCTGAGCTGAAGGCAGACGCTTAATGGACTGAGCCACCCAGGCGGCCCTATAAAGCTGAATTTAAAGAAATGCAAACTTGTAGATAGATTATGGGACTGCTCTTACTGAACCCTAGGTGTTTTAAGTTCCTATTGGATAAACAAGTTCTCCTCTAAGACCTAAGTAGAAAAGAAACAGTTTAGCAAGGCTTCATCAGATCTGCTTTTCTCCTGATTATTTTGTAACATAATTGCACAGAGCAGATATATACAGTGGACTTTTCTGTGTCATCTATTTTCATTAGGGTAGATGATTCTTAATTTAAAAAATCACCAATATTCAGGGCGCCTGGGTGGCTCAGTTGGTTGAGCATCCAACTCTTGATCTCGTCTCAGGTCATGATCTCAGGTCTTGGGATCCAGCCCCATGCCAGGCTCTGCACTCAGTGGGGAGTCTGCTTGAGGATTGTCTCTCTCCCTCTCCCCCTCTTCCATCTTGTGCGTGTGCTCTCCCTCTCTCTCTCTCTCTGTCTCAAATAAATAAATAAATAATAAATGTTTAAAAAAAGAAATATCTTGGGGTGCCTAGGTGGCTCAGTCGGTTGAGAGTCTGCCTTTGGCTCAGGTCATGATTCCAGGGTTCTGGGATCGAGTCCCACATTGGGCTGCAGGGGAGCCTGCTTTTCCCTCTCCTCGTGTGCTCTCTGTCTCTCACTTACTCTGTCTCTCAAATAAAGAAATAAAATCTTAAAAAAATTAAAAGAAATCTTTTAAAAATCACCAATATTCTACCTCCTTGGCTTTTCATGTGTTAGATGAACCCCACCCCCACTTAAGATACAGTAACATGCCATATCCTGATATCCTGAAACCAGTTAATCTTTTTCTTTGTTTCATGGAGTCTTTTGCATTTATATTGTATTTTGCTTTGTTAATGTGTCTGATCTTCCCTTTGAATCTGGTCTCCTGGGCAGAGACCTCAGAGAGCTCATCTCACATTTTCAGAGGCTTAATGTTCATCAGGTGTTGAATGTATATAAATTAGTTAGTAAGACTCTTCTCCAAATAGAGCTATTTGAATCCACTATATAGAAAATTAAGTTGTTTTCCAAAATTAGAAATTGAGCACTTCTGTTAATTTGTAAGCCTAATTTTTTTAAGACTTTGCATTTAATTTTTGTGTAAGAGTTAATTAATCCCGTGGTTCTCAAACCTGAGGGTGCATCAGAACCACTTAGAGGGCT